AGATGCGCCTGCTGGCATGGCTGAGAAGAGGGGCAGTGGACAAAAGAACTACATCCTTCATGTTTTCTGATCCTGACTTCATGTAACTCGCTAACTTCCTGAATAAACCCTCAGGATTGTATTTTCTGTGAGTTCTGTGTAGCCATTAAGTTCTGTGAGTCTATCAGCAGAGTGTTATGGGAGGGGTGGTTGGTTCAGAACAGGATAAAGAAGGATCGAGGGTGCGCGCATGTCTGACCTTGGCCTCCTAAGAATCAACCTTGGGCAGATGTGGAACTGGATTCTCCTTCCCCTTGTGTAGCGGGAAGGGGCTGTTCCTCAAACAGTAAGGGGAAAAACAGAGCTGCCTCCACACTGTTCCAAATGTTTCTACTTCAGTCAGCCAAGAGTGCATGCCCCAAATGAAGGAGTTAGCAAAACTTTGCAGCCAGTGGCCATGTCTCCTTTAAAAAAAAGGGGCGGGGGGCTTGTTATACAGTCGCATAGTCTCCAAGAAGAAGAAACAAACTACCCTGTAGGTTGAGTTAACATATTAACACAACAACATAGAGCTTAGCGCTGATAACAAGAATGCTCGATACACAGATCATAGAGTGTATGGACCGAAGGGAAATGAAAACTGTTCACTCCTTCATTCTCTCATGCATGCATTCATTAGTCAACCATCGTGGAGTCAATACTTACTTAGTACCGGGCACTTTGCTAAGTGCTACGGTCACAAAGGTGAATCAGTTATTGTCTCTGGCCATGAAGTCAGGCCAGTGGGGAGAAAGTTCTGTCAACAGACATGGCGCATCAAAGACAACACATTCTAAGGAAGTGAACAGTTCTGTGAGGTCACGGAGGGAACGTTTGCCTCTGATGCAGGGCCTTAGGGCTTCATTCAAAGAGGTGGTGGTAATAAAGCTGGGGTTTACCAAGAAAATGGGGATGACAGAAATGGGCTAGAGTGTAAAAGAAGTAAATTCCTTAAGTCCCTTGCTAACTGATAGACATTTATCACCATAGGCGGCAGTCCTGTCTTTATACTTATAGCATACCCAGTTTGTGGACACCGGTGTTTTGTGTTGTGAGCTCAGTTAATACCTTCACGGTAGGGACACTTCAGGGTTAAACTAATGGAAGAATTCTTTTGAGGGGGTTTGGGCAAAGTTACTTCAGTAGACTGCTTTGTTGAAGGATTCAATGACACACTGCTGCACAGGGAAGCTGACCTGCATCTTTCGCTCGGATTAAACATTGCAGGACAATCCTCTGAGGTTCTCAGCCCTATGAGATGGAGAATTTCTTTGATCACTCATCCCCTCAGGAGCCAAGTCAACCATTTATAAACTCAATCTTCATTTGAGATCAAACTTTAGAAACCATTTCCAGAAGTCTAACCAGATATTAAATGCACTACATTTTGAAAATCTATTTTTATTTCTAATCTGTTACATATGCAGCAACCAGAGAGTCAGAATGTGGAGAAGGGAAAAAAATTCTAACTTACAAGTCTCCCCCCTATTCCTTTGTTGGTTTCTTGTGGATAACTTTGCTTCCTAAAGATTGAGGGCCATAGCTGTTTCCAGTGGAGAGTGTAGGGGCCTAAATCATTTGGTCAACTGGTATTGTAAGGCGCTAGTGAGTCGGCTCTGACTCTCACCAAACCTGTGTGCAACAGAAGGACACACTGCCGGGTCCTGTGCCGTGCACACAGTTGTCACAGCTGAGCTCATTGTGGCAACACTGTGTTAGCCCAGCTCCTTGGGGACCTTCCTGTTTGTCACTGACCCTCGGCTTTACCAAGCATGCTGTCTTCTTCCAGGGACTGCTCTCTCCTGACAGCATGTCCAAAGGTCGTGAGATGGAGTCTCACCATCCTTGCCTCTCAGGAGGGTTCTGGCTGTATTTCTCACAAACCAGATTTGTTTATTCTTCTAGCAGTCCATGATCATTTCTATAGTCTCCTGATCAACTAATGTCTGCTCATTTCAGGGTAGGGTCTTGGCCAGGAAAATGTAAGCACAAGGAATGTCCACCCAGAGCCCAGTCATGTAGCCCAGAGACAGATGAGCTATGACTAATCTAGATTTAGGTTTTCTTCACGATCCTCACCTCCTGCTTCTGAATCTCTTGAGATTTACATACAGATCTTTGGATCTGCTTACATAAATGTGAGTCCATACAAAG